CACACAAGCACGTAGACACACAAGCACGTAGACACACACACACGTAGACACACACACACGTAGACACACATGCACGTAGACACACACACGTAGACACACACACGTAGAGACACACACGCACGTAGACACACAAGCACGTAGACACACAAGCACGTAGACACACACACACGTAGACACACACGCACACCTCTGCTGCTACCGCTGCTGCAGCGGTAGCAGCGGCAGCAGCAGAGGCCACACAGCTCGCCCCGGCAACAACACACGGGGCTGCAGTTCACGGTCGCTCAGGGTCATTATCGCTATTTAATAATAATTATTATTGTTGTCGGGGAGGTCTCGAGGTGGCCACGGAGAAGGGGAACTGGGGGGGGGTGGCAACGGAAGCGCTCACTCCGCCGGCCCTCCTCCTGCGCCGCCCGTGGCTTTTGTGCCGCGTCGCGTTCTCAAGCTAATGAATCGTTCTCAAGCTAATGAATCGCAATCTCGGCGCGCAGATCGCATCTCTTGCTCGCAGTTTCCATGGCTGCCCGTGGCGGGCAGTGTGGGAACGAGCGGTGCGCGCGCGCGCGAGAGAGTTTTACTGCCGCCGCAAAGCGTGAGATAGAATCTGCCTCATCCTAAGTGGTTATACAAGAGGAGGAATGGGCCGGTCGGGTGGGGTGGTGGTGGTGGTAGGGGACAGGGGGTATGATGAGGGGGGTGATGAGAGGAGGAGGAGGAGGGAGTTGAGGGGGGGGGGCGATGGAGGAGCGAGGGTTGTTGTTGTTTTTGTTTCTCTTCAACGCGCTCGCACACTGCACGAGGACTGCATGAAATGAGGAGTTGGAGGAGGGGGGGGTCACTTCTTTCTCTCTTACCCCCCCCCCCCATCTCACTCAATACGATGGCACAATGGAGATATGGGAGGGAAAGATGAGAGAAAGGGGGGGGGGGTGAGGAGAGAGAATGGAAGGAGGGTAGTGGAGAGGGGAGAACAGTAGAGAGAGATACGCGAGGATACGACGAGATGAGAGACGGGAGGAAGAGAAAACCGGACAGCCGGGACAAGTCGGGAGGGATGAGATTGTAGGGAGGGTGTCACCTTTGGAAGAAGAAGATGCGAGAGGCAAGGAAATGTGAAGGAAGGAGAGTGAAATGAGATACGTAGAAAAATGCAAACAAAAGGAGAGAAGGGGAGGAGAGAGAGAGATAGAGGCGGTTAAAGAGCGAACGAGAGGAGAACGAGACGGGATGAGACAGGAGCGAGACGGAGAGCGAGCGGGGAGAGAGCCGAGCCAGGGAGATCAGCCACACGCGGCCTCCGCATACAAAGTTACAAACGCGACAATTCACGCCGACGTTGCATTCGCCGCGCTCATGAAAAGCTCTTTGTACACAAGCGTCTCTTTGCTGCTCCGCGTCTGCTGTATTCCGGAACGGTTCGGCCGCCGCATCCAATGAGTCATCCCTTCTTGGGAAAATGACAGCACTGATAAGTAGAGAGATGCATTTGCGCTGGTGGGGGGGGGGGGGGTCTGGGGGTGTGGGGGTGCAATGATGGTTGTTGTTGGTGGTGGGGGGGTGGAATCATACTGAGTTGAGAACGGTGGGTAGACGGGATGACGGGTGGGTGGGTGGGGGGGTCTTGGGGCAAAAGGTAGCTAGCTAGTGTAGGGGTTAGAGGTGGTGGGGGGGTATGGAGCCGAGGGCGCGAGGGGGGACAAGGCGGAGGAGGATGTCAGACCAGAGCCAGCAAGTGACGTTAAAGATCATCTCTAATGAGAGGGGTCTTTTGTTCTTTGTGCCACGGACGCTGTCTGCATCATTCTCCCGGGGTGATCGAGCTGCCGCCTTCACACGCGGGGCCTTGTTTGGGGCGGCACAGGGGGGCCCTTGAAGGCAGGCGGGCCCCACCGAGTTCTTCAGGAGGGTGCTGCATTTCCGACGTTTGACCACAATTCGTGTGTCGATAGTTTTTTTTTGCACGGCCGAGGGCCCAGCCAAAGATACCCGGAGAGGCCACGCGACACGCGGCGTGAACGCTCACACTTGCACGTGGCGGCTTTTGGACGTGCGTCCTTTTTTCCGTTAATATGACTTTATTCGACAAATCCAGGCTTGGGAAAGTGCATGGATGATAGATGAACAGGACTCCTTCAGATCTGATCCCACGTAAGTAACACCGGGTATTGACGTACACGCGACAGACAGGACTGTCAGGAAGCCGCTTGCCAGACTTCTGCACGCGCAGCCACTGCCCTAAAGGGGGGTGGGGGGGGGGGGGGGGGCTTTGCCTCAACGCGCTCTCACGTTTGGCGTCCCTTTGTGGTCCACCAACCCCGGCCCCAAAGGTCCCTCGATCATAGGCGTGCCTCTCCCGCGTCACGGCGCGGTGCGGGTAACCACGAATGAATGTTTGTCGAGAAGTGCTTCGATCAAATAAATAAATATATTAGGCAATGATTAAAAACACACACGCATGCGGAGTTTATGTTCATAATACACTGCGCTGCACAGATAAACATCGCCCGTATTGAAGTGGCCGGAGCTGTTTCAGGGCCAATGCAGCAAAATTGAGGCTGCGTGAAGGCATCGCCTTATGTTTCCTCTCTTTGAATTCCACCATGTACAATTATCCGGGTTACAGTGTCGTGCCAGTGCTGTTAGCACTGATGCCTGTCCAGGGGGCTTCGTTTATTTATTCGCCCTCGGAGATTAGATTGCGCGCAAAATGCTATGTCGCAGAGCGACTCCCAGCGCGCTACTTTTGCTCGTTAGAGAAGATAATTTAGTACATGGTGATACTGCAATCGCCATCTCATCATCATCATCGGCATCATCATCATCATCATCATCCTCTACATCCAGCGCTTTGAAGTCGGAGATGACGGCTCACGAGCAGATCACGATGCCTGTGAGAAACGGACCGGCAAGGGCAGCGAGGTGCACCGAGTAGATAGCGACGCAGGATGCTGACATTTTTGTATGCATTTTTGAGCGTTATCTCCTTGTCTTTTTGTGGAGGTTTTGTTTGGGCCCTTCGGGTAACCTTTGTAGGCAAAATACTCAAAGGTGCAATGCAGGATCCCACAGAAAGGATCCTGGAGACTCATTGAGGCTCTGTGGATATAATAATCATAATGATAAATAATCTATGCCTCGAGTTTCCTGGCTGGCTGCTGGTTGGGCTCCTCTCTACCCCCACAATAACTCTGTTGTTAGTGGCTGCGGGCCATTGCCACTGAAGCTAGCTGGGTAACTGGCTAAACGGCATTTTTTTCAGTGTAACAAATAAACATTGAATTGGATTGAAAATGGCGGAAGTTTTTTGGAAAATATAATAATAGATCGCGACACTAAGAGGTGGGAGTAACAAACACAGACGACTAACACGGGCCATTTGAAATTGCTCTAACGTTTACATTTGTGCTGTTGTTAACGTCATTCTTTCGCCAAAGTATTACTTAAATTTTAGACAACATGTATGTAAAAAAAACCTCACGATACATATTGTCTTGCCATTTTATGATTACATAAAAATATGACTTTAGGTGCTACGAGTACAGGAGGATTTTCAGCAGAGAAGTAAGTGAAACTCAGCTTTACGTAATGAAATTGACAGCTGTCTCCTATTTTCCAATGCAGAGCGACGCGTTCTCTGCGCGGTATATCCATAACAGCCTAGCGTCTGAGAAGAGGGTTTCCCTTTTTTTCTGGCAACAAAATAGGTGTTAAGATATTAGAACATCAAACTGAAACCTTTTAACAAGGGATCATGTCTGCATTAATCACAATACTTGTGGTCAGAATGCAAACAAAAAACATACTCTGATAATATATGCATTGTCTTTGAAACTGATTGGTCCACACCACAGACAGCTTTCTTTTGAGCCTCATCTCAAAACGGAGTAAGACCTGACCAGGACGGTGTTAGACCAGAGGACGCCAAAAGGCGACGCCAACAGGCGTCCTCTGGTCTAAATAGGGGTAATGTATCATCGCGAGTGAATTCTGGTGAAGTAAGTGGAGTTGAACGGAGGGGAGGAGGTGGGGAGGGAAAGAGCAAAGGCAGTGATATAATGTCGAGCTGAGCCATGGGTTCCGGCCTGAACTTGCGTTCTCTTTTGGTCTCTGCTGATGCCGCTTCTTCTTGCTGCTCGCCATATCTTAGGCACTTTGACTCGTGGTACTATTTGTGTTCACCGTCACGTGCGGTGTTACGGCTACGGCCGTCAAGAGGAGTGCTAGTTTATCAACAACCACGTTTGAAAGAGTGACGTTGACTGTCTATGCCCGGACTGAACAAGGAAGCACATTTAGAATAATGGTTCTACTTCTTCCTCTTACAAACAGTGTGCATCTGTGTGTGTCTTAAAATCGCAAAGGTTAAGTAGGTCATATGTGAATCGAAATGTCACGCGTGACTTACAGCGCAGGGCCTACGACATATTTCGTTGACTCAGAGCTGCGAGTTGCAAAAATTTGAACTCTAATCAAGTTGGGCCAGTCCTGGCTTATGGGTAAAATGCCGAGTTGACCGATATCCCAGTGCAACCTAACCCTGCACATCATCGGCACGCGGTGATTCCTCTGATGAGCAGCTTTCGTCTTGGAACAGATCGATCCTCCTCTGCCCCCGCCCCCCAAACTGTGACTCCGTGTTCCGCCACGACTTAGCTTCTAATTCAGATGTTATCGTGGTTGTTAGTTACCACCATGTTTCATTTTTTTACGCCTGTTTGAAAACAAGTTTCATTAAACGCTTCGTATAAATAATGTGTTCTTATGCCCTTGAATTTGACATTACTGCTCCATGAGCGGCGTGATAATTTATTTCAATTGGTGTTGCTCTTAGGTCTCGTTTTCCCGTTTGAGTATCGCTCCGTTGCATAACCCGCCATAAAGGATAACGGCGCGCGATTCGGAGCTTAAATTCTGCGGCCGCTCCAACCGATGTGACCGGCGCGTCGCGACGCGCCCCGCTCAATCGCCCGCTCGTCCGGCAACGTCTGCGCGCCCAGGCTACAGGGAGACGGCGTTCGCGTACGCGCTGGCGGCGGCGGGCGTGATGCACGCCGTGGCGAGCGCCTGCAGCCTGGGCAAGCTCAAGACGTGCGGCTGCGACGAGAAGCTCAAGGGCGACGAGGAGGCGTTCCGCGTCAAACTGATCAAGCTGAAGATGCAGATGCTCAGCCAGGGGAAGGCGGCCGCCAACGGCGTTCTGCCGCACGTGCCGGCCGACGCGCCTGGCTCGCCCGACACCTGGGAGTGGGGCGGCTGCAGCCACGACCTCGAGTTCGGGGAGAAGTTCTCGCGCGACTTTCTGGACTCGCGCGAGACGTCCCGCGACATCCACGCACGCACCCGCCTGCACAACAACCGCGTCGGACGGCGGGTAACTATTCCGCCGCTGCTGCTGCTGCTGCTGTCGCCGAGGGACGAATGTTTGGATGCACGTTGAGCTTCTTTTGCACCGTACCTTAGGCAACCGCGCTAATCGGACGCGCGGGGGGTGGGAGGGGGGGAACAAACTAAACCCAAAAAGCAGTTCTAAAGAAATGAGTTTTCGATCTAGACGATTTAAAAGCGCATAATTCAGGTGCGGCTTCCTAACATCGGAAGGAAGAGCATTCCGGACGGCCGCGGAAGCGCATCAGAAAGCGTGCGATGCCGTAACCGTCTAATTGTTCGATGACTTGCCAAAAGCCGCTGCGAGGATGACCGGAGTTTGCGTGAATCAGAGCGGACCTTTGTCTGCGACGAGGCAACGCGAAAAGCAGCTGTTTGACCGATGCCATTCGTTCGCCGCCCGGCCGCTGTGTGCCCACTGATCACTCACTCCTCCGTCACTCTGTCACAGTTGCTAACCACGATAATCATTCTCGTGAACTCGCACCCCTTGATACCTCCACCAATGTCAAGGACTTGGAGTTTTCCAGATTGGCTCAAACGGCGTTTTCCTTCATTCCTTGTGCTGCTCCGCGTTCCTATAACCCCTGCTATTCGGAGTGATCTCTGTTGCTGGCTGCTTTAGCGTGACAGTGGTGTTAACTGCGATGCAAGAGAGAAGGCATTTGCCTCAGCCGGGGCAGATGGCACCGCAGTTTGGCGGATGCCACGCCGCCGATTCCGCACACCTCCCTCCTCGGTGAAGGCTGCGACGCGGTCAAGAGCCGCGGCGGGCACTTCCGCAGTTTCGCCCACATCAAGGCCAATACTCGGCCCCCGACTGTGAATTTCAAGCCGCGGCTACTAATGATAATGATAATAATAAGAATACGCATCAACAACAGAGATTTGCATCGCGCCGCGACGTGGCCAGTCTGAGACAGCTGCATAGGGAGCTCGTTAGATGGGAGCGTACGAGTGTCGTGGGTGTCATCAGGTAGAAGGAGGTCGCAACGAGTGGGTCCCGTGCCCAGGGTGGAGGAGGGCAGGTTGCCGAGAAAGGCACTGGAGTGGTACCCAGGGGTCACTGACCAAGGGGGAGGCCGAGAGCAGCGCGACTGTAAGGGTGATGAGACTCTTAAGAGTGGTCCTTAAGAGGCAACTGTGCAACAGTAGAGGGAATCTAACAGTAGGAAGGCTGCAATGGCAAGATGGAGCGGCATCGATTTCGGTGGCTGTGATTAAATTTTGACCTTCATTGTGGTGAAAACGTTCGGCTCGCAATTGGAAGCCTCGCGATTGGAGTTAAAATGCCGTTTGGGGTGGGCTTAGCCTTCCATCCCTGTAACGGAAGTATGTGTCCGTGTGTGTGCCTCAAGTGAGTACCTGGTGCGGTGTGTAACCCCACACCCTCATGTGTGGTGCCAGCCTTCATAGGCGCTCGCAAACAGCACTTGCCCCAACAGAATGTTATAAGGCTCGACGGGGGATCTTTGTCTTTGTTTGTCTCGCCATCTCTAAATGACACTGGTGGAGTCGGGTTTTCCCAGGTGCAGGCTGGGGGATGTGGGGTTGGCCAACCCTATTCCCCAAGTTTCATCTGCGCCCTCAGAGCTCCTGGGCCTGGCGGATGAACCTGACATCCGCACCGGTGCTGGCTTCCTCTCCCGGTCTCCGTCTGCATCTCTCTCTCTCTCTCGTCTCCTGTCTCTCTGGCAGTCTCTCTGCCTCTCTGTCTCTATGTCTCTGTATCTCGCGGTCCGTTTCTCTCTGTCGCTCTGTTTCTCTCAATCAATGTCTCTCTATCGTCGTTTATTGCATGCGTTTGTCACTATGCGTGTCCTTGTCTCCATGAATGTATCTCTTTATCCACGTTCATCTCTCTGTGTCTTCCTGTGTCTGTCTTTGTCTATGTATCCCTACGTTTGTCGACGCTTCTCTATGTGTGTCTGTCTATCTGTCTCATTCTCTCCATGTTTTTCCTGTCTCTCTGTGTTCTTCTTGTGTCTGCCTCCCAATGTTTACCTTATTGCTCTCTGCCACACTTGGTCTTCATATATCCCTGTGTCTCCCTCTCTCTCTCTCTGCGTCTACACAGCTCCCTGTGTCTCCCTCTGTCTCTGTGTCTCTCATTTAGCCAAGTGAACTGGGCTGGCATCAATAAAGAGATGAAATTTCCCGAAACAAAACAAGTGGCCTTTTTTACAAACAAACTGCTGTGCACAGCACGTAATGGGGCCCTTCGGATAACAGCAATAACAATAGCGCTATTCCGTAAACCGTGTGGAAATGTATTTCACATCTAACGAAGGGACAACACAAACAGGTGAACCAGCGCTTCGTGACAAACATTCTCCAACACAAACAAACAAAAATCAGTGAGAAGGTAAAGGCGCAGCCCTTCAACTGCTCGCTCGCGGCTACTGTTGGCGGAAGGGCCTCTGCTAGATGGAGCCTGTGGTGAACCCACTCACTCTACTGCTACTGGGCGGACAGAGGCTTGAGAGATTTAAGAAAATACGCCCATCGTTTCAACTGCCGCGCCGGTGACCTCTGTCCAGTGTGCTAACCGTTCACCCCGCGGTGCTGCACTGAAACCTATGACTCATAAGCAGAGGACAAGTTATTTAAATAGCGAGTTATTGAAGTAACACGCTCCGTAGGATGAAGACGTGCACATTACGGCCGGCGGTCCACGAAAGTCACAAGTCACTAGCGTTTCACGCCTCTATCACACCGCCGGGGCGGTGGCCACTCTCTTTCGGCAGCCACGACTGATCTTGGTGGTGAAAAAATTCCACGTTGCCACGGCGAGGGCAAAACAGATGCAGTTGCAGCGAAATGAAAGCGGCCGCGCAAATTCGCCATCGATCGTGGTAGACGCGCTCGCGCGCTCGTCAAGTTGCATCTGCCAGGACGCGCGCTCATTAACGAGCTCTCATTCTCGGCCGAACGTGAAAGGAAACGCGGCGCTTCTCAGAATTTGTGGCTCTGCCATGCGATTACGCGCCGCGAGAGGGGCGCCGGACTTTGCCTTAAACGCTCGGGGTATTTTTGTTGCAATTACGTTCACAATTTACGTTCGCGCGCTGTGCGTGCGCGTGTTCGCCGTGCGTTTGTGTGATGTTGTTTTTGTTGTTCTTTGCCGCCGATAATTATCGGAGTCAATGAGCACGAAAACACGTGATTGTGTCGAGTATCGGGGTCTGCAATGTCAACGGGGGGGGGGGGGGGGGGGGGCAGTTTCGGTGCAGCGGCTTGCTCACTGCCCTGCGAACCAAGCTACCCGAGTTCGATTATTCCCGGCCATGGTTGACGTCAGTGGCGAGTGATATCAGAATCGTAGATCTTTCTTTGGACCGGAGGGAATCCGATGAGCTACGAAGCTCTTCTTCAGAGACATTGAGTATGGGCGGGTCAGCAAGTGACAACCACAAATAATACAAAAACCGACAGGAGTGTAAAATAGAGAAGAAGAGTAAACATGTCACTAAAGATAAATGAATGGATTAATCAATTTATCAAGCTTGGGCAAGGCAGGAAAAACAACAAAACAGTCCTCGACTATACTGAGATAGAAATGTGAGCCGGTCCTGTCCCCACGTCCACCACCTCCTCCACCACCAACCTGCACTCGCCAACGTGGTGAAGTATAAACCAAACCAACACGGTCATAGGTGGGGGGCGGCGGGGGGTATCATCCAGCAGTGGATAGGCAAAGAGCTGACGATAATTATGATTGTTAGATATTAGGCAATCCAAGCAGAATGGTGTAAACCTGGTGTTGCAATAAGGAGCTGCAGGTCACGTGTATATCCGTCATGCATACACGTGGACTGTAATACTTGCTGGCTTATTTATCCAGGAAATCCGCACTGAGCCTCAATACTAATATCCGTGAGGGTCCAGCATTGGGATGTTTGGCAAATCCCATTTTAAAAAATCCGTTAATATTCAATTATAAAAATGCCATGACCGAGTGTTGCCCTCACCTGGAGGGGAACTGGAGTACTCGGGGAACAACCTCGCACGAACATGAGGTGGCAATCCCGGAAACTCCAATACAGATGGATTCAAGCATTCATTGCTGTACTGCCATCTCCTGACCACCTCGCATACAACATTGAACAAGGCACCTGTGGTAGTGCTTGCCTGTAGGCCTATAATACATGGCTTTGGAAGCAGGGTAGGCGGATAATGTCATCATGAGCTCTGAGACTCTTAACATATTGGGCTGCGATGCGGACAGGAAAAGCCAGTCAGGCAAATTGGTTCGCGATATTTTTTTTTTAATGCATCGCCTTCCAGTGCTGCGCTGTTGTAAACACGTATCGCCCTGATCTCAAGTGGCCGCAATGACCACTTCAGACGCCACTTGAAAGACCACTTGAAACATCCTGAAAGTGGGCCTTGAGACGAAATGCAACATTCCTTGATTCCAAAAAATTACCTCAAAGGTTAAACTGCCATACATTCTAAAATTAGAACCCTATTGAAGATGACGCTCGAGACTCAGTGCAGCTTTTGGCTACTTGACGCAAAAAAAATAGAAATACACAACTCCTTAAAAAAAAAAAAATATCCAAACATCTCAGAGCAGGACCCCCCTGACAGCGAGGATTGAGACTCGGCGAGGCTCCTCCTGGATGGAGGACGTTCTTATGATTATTGTTTGGTTGTGGCGGTGGTGGTGGAGGTGGTTGGGTCTCGCCGCGTGTAGCTGCTCCACGCAGTGCCATCTCGGCCCCCCGAGGGAGCTGCGCTCAGCCCGGCGCGCCCTTCCCTTTCCGTCAGCCGTTTACGCAACCGGGCGCCTGATCCCCCGCCTCTCGCCCCCTCCCCCCCACGGCCCACCAAACCGGGCTCCTGATCCCCCGCCTCTCGCCCCCTCCCCCCCACGGCCCACCAAACCGGGCTCCTGATCCCCCGCCTCTCGCCCCCTCCCCCCCACGGCCCACCAAACCGGGCTCCTGATCCCCCGCCTCTCGCTCCCCTCCCCCCACGGCC